GTTTTGAGGAGAGTGGTTGCCCAGCTACATAAATGCAAGTAGCTAAGATTGTTCTGCTGTCTTGTTGTTCAGCCTGGGATCCTGTTCCTTTATGTCATATTGACAGATTTGCCCATGCTCAGGTCTTTATGGCAGAGCAGTGTTTCCCTTTCTGTATGTTGGCCTATATTTTTTTTTTTGTTGTTAGCTGAAGTTAAAGAAATAAACACACCAACAACCCTCTGCCAACTCCCACCACCTGAAGAACCAAATAACTATCCTGTAAATCCTTCCTGTATCTTTTTTCTTGCAGTGTCTTTATTGAACAAGCAGGATATGATTCAGTTGCCTAACTAGAGGTGTTCTAAAGCTGCCTGAGTTGCCCTAGGGTATCTTGCTTGGCGTTTTCAGCTGCTGCCCCAAAGGGCACTGATCTCTCTGAAAAATATTGTCATATCTGCCATGTCTTAGATACCCTAAGGCACCTCAGATGGCATTAAACACTTGAATCATGCTATTGGATCGCTCCTTAGCAACTTAGCATGTGTGGAGTAGCTACAGTTTTCTTCTAGAGTGTCAGAGATACAGAGAAATAAGTTTTTTTGTTTGTTTTCATGTGATCAAATACTTTGAAGAGATGTTACTGAGTTTTTAACACTGATTCCTGTGTCTTTCTTCATTTTGTACCTTGATTCACATGTGAATTCAGAAATTAATTTTAAAAGCATCACAGCTTCTTGCTGTCAGATGTTGTCTCTAAGCTTCAGGAATATTTCTGACTTTTCACTAAACAGCCTGTAAGAAATTTAAGCTAAACTTGGTTTTCTGTAATAGGATTATACTTCAGGGTCAAGTGTGCAGGAGTCCCACAGTACTCCCAAACACCATTTGAGGTAGCTGCCCTCCCATCTGGGCAGAACTGTTTCAACAAATCATTTTAAGAGGAGCTGCTGAGGTAAAATTATCTTGCTGTACTTGACAGTAGAATAGCTTGGCAGCGTCAGCACCACAGCAGAAATAGAATTACTCCTGTATGTTGCAATAGTAGTTCTGTGTTTACTGAAGTTGAATTGTCATTTCAGGAGCTATTTCTCTTTCTGTCAAACAATAAGTGGTTCTAGAGGTGATGTGTTGCTATATTTGACTTAAAGAGCAAAAAATATTTAGAGTGGAATCCAGTGATGAGTCAGCAGGTCTGCCTTTGTTCATTTACATCCTTTCAAACTGCTGATTGCACTGTCTTGGTCACTGATGGCAATGAAATAACCTGTTCCTCTTCCACCTAAAGACAATTGCCAAGGGTCTGCTTTAGGGAAGGATTTGCTTGTAGAAGGGACTGATCAGTGTTCCTGTGTGATATTTGTGTAGACACTGAAGGAGCTAGGTTAGCATTCTGTATACATGTATGATGACGTTTTTCTTGCTGTCTTTTTGATGTTTCATAAAAGACAGTTTCTTTATTTTCCCCAAACTGTATGTAGGCTTTGTCTCATGTTTCAGCACTGTTCTGTATTCCATATGAATGCATTCCGCGGTGAAGTTGAACTTGCATTGCGTTTGGTTTTTTGTTGTTGTTGTTGATTGCATTTTTTTGTTGTTGTTGTTGTTGTTGAAAGCCAAATGGATTGAGGGTATGGATTACATTCAGATTGGTCTTATTCCAGGCTGCAGTGAACGCACACTTGTTTTACATGTTTTGTGCTCAGATTTTTCGAAACCCAAGAATTTCTGAAGGATATAGATAACATTTCAGAAGTAAAGCTTTTGGGGTTTTGGGTCAGTAACTGGTAGGTTGTTCCTACTTTTGTTGTCTTGAGGTGAATAGGGATGTTAATGCTGTGGCACTCTGTATAACATCTTTCAGTACTACTAAATTTATAGTACAGTTAGAAAAAAAGATCACAAGAGGTGAAGTTGTCAGAAGAAAACTGTACATAAGGCCAGTGGAGAGCAACTATATAAGCACCTAAAACATTTCTTAGTTTCTAACCCCTTTTTTAGACTTACTATGCATTTTGGCTGAATAGATAAGAGAAGAAGAACAGTATGTGTGTATGTACAAGAAAAGAAATGATAGATTTAAGTATTAGTATTTCCATCTTTTCATCTGTTAGGAGCATATTAGCTTTTCCTTTGAAATCCTGTGAAGTATTTCAAAATTGAATGCTTCTTGCCTAGGGAGAAAAAAAAAAGATGAAGTGGTATTTTTTGATAGTGAGAAGCAAAAGGATATATAAAGCACCCTTTTTCTTGTAATTTATCTTTGGCTTCATGGCTTTAACTATATTGAATTAATGTTAAGTTCTGTAGCACTATTTAATTGGAAATATAATTTTATTATAGTTATCTTTGCCCAGTGTATCTATAAAAATATGATAACTTGTCTGAGTATGAAGGTTTTGCCTACACTGTTCTTAAACTGGAGTGGTCATGGACACGTTTTGTCTATTAATGGCAAATAGAATTGAAACTTATGAGGAAGTACATACAGAAGTTGGGGATGTAAGGAAGGGGTATTTATTTAATTAGGCGAGGTGGGGGGACGATGCAGGGATATATTGGTTTCTGGTGTTCTTGTTTTCAAAACTATAGTGGTAGCCATTCTCAAACCGAGTGCAGTAATTTTGCAAATGACTTTATTGGCTTGGAAGTAGTTGCTTAGAAGTGAATGTTTTTATTAAGCCGACTGGGAGATAGTGTTCAATATTTTGATTCACTTCACATTTTGTGAACTCACTACACAGAATAGTGTTAACATTTATGTAAAGTAACATCAGATTTGCTGTTGAGTTGGCCATTGTGATTGCAGCTTATGTTCAATCTTGCTTTTCAGACCAATCACAATATAAAGTTCTTTAAAAATTTTTCTCTAATCAAATATGGAGACGTTATATAAAAATTAAGTTAATATAAAATAAAGTTAATATATAAGATAAGTTAATTTGATTATTTTTTATCTTAAGGTTTTTGTAATATTTAGATAGTTGGAGTGCAGCTCTTGGCAAGATGAACTGTAGCTTTGTGTACTCGGTTTAAAATAACACATTTAGAGAATGAAAAACCAAACAACTAGCAAGTCAACATGGAAAGAATGTGTTAAATGAGTTACTTAGCATCACAAAAGTATGTCAAGACAAAAACAGAGATACACTCCTTTCCTTCAGAGTAGCATTAGGATAAGTAAAAGGACAACTTTTTTCTTTATGGTGAGTTCTGAGTTATTTGCACTACAGCTCTTAATTTGTGAAGATTGAGAGGTGTTAAGATTCTGTCTCCTTCAAAATATGGCTTCAAGTATTGTCTGTTCTGTATGTGGAGATTGATTGTAAGGAGCTATGCAGGTTTGTTTTGTTTTTTTTTTTTGCCATTACGGTGAATATGAAGGGTTGACTTAAGGTGGTGTACGAAAATCCAGTCTAGTCAGTAATTTTTCAGAATTATATATTGTTGTCTTACAATTTAGGCAGTCTAGCAATTATTTTCTCTTCATACACACATATTTCCTGTTACTATTTTATGTTGTTTCCTCTAGGATTAGTGCATATTTTGTTCTTTCTTAAAATGAAATAATACCTTTATGTTAACTGTATTTGGTATATTAACGGGGAAACCTCTACTCTTTCCTGCACCTTGTACTTATATGTGATTCTGATGTTTGTGAATGTGGGAGTGCATACAGGAGAAACGCACACCACACTATACTGGATCACATGATCAGCAAGTTCATATTTTGGAGTGATGCTGTGAAGCATACCTAGACAGGATTGGCCATTGGCTTCTTGATCATGAGCTCTCACTCTGCAGATTAGCCTCTATACTTCCAGCATAGATTAACCTTGCTTCCAGCTAGAGCCAAGATATATTTACAAGAATATTAGCAGTTAAAGCTGTCATATTGAGTGTCTTGAGGTGGTAATATTGCTTATCAGGCAATACGTCTGTAAGCCTCGTTAATCCAATGCTTTTCTCTAGTTCTGTATTCCTAACTGTTGGAAAAAAACAACAAAACAATGGCTTAACTTTCTATGGACGGAACTGTTTGTAGGACGTACCACGCTGTTTTTACCTTGCTGTGTAGGTTTTGAAGAAGTTACCACGTAGTGGGTATTGACTTTCTTTTAGTGCCTGCTCACTGTGATACCTCGTGAATCTTCTTTATGCAATAGCTTCGTGGGTTTGTTTCATGTCGTCTTCAACAGGAAAGAGTGATTCAGAGGTAGAGAAGTAAAGCTAGATACAGCTTTTCATGGATTGACAGATTTTTCATAAGCTCACATGCAGATGACTTCACTTCCTCTTGACCTATTGGAACTCTGAAGCATGCTTACTAATGAAATAATACAACCTACTTTCTTTTTCAATTATAACGTCAGTAATTAATTGTATATTTTGTGACACCAGCAAGATGGGAACTCAGTGGCAAGCTGTGATGATTTAAATTTTTAGTTAATTTTAGTCTCTCAGTTTAAATCACAGAATCACAGAATGGATAATACATTTTTCTTGGCAAGAATTTTGATAATGTTAGTGATCTCTATTGGCCTGCTTATTCTTCTTCCAAAGAGTTGGGATGGAGAGGAAAAGAAGGAATGGGAAATACTATGCTTTAAAGGCTCCAGTATTTTCAAAATAATAATCTTGATAGTTTGCATCTAAGCTTTGCTTAACGTGCAAAGCACAGCAATCTAAATGTGGTACTTCTAAAAAAACTTTTATAACATTGTGTTTTTAGGCTACCTCAGTAGTCTTTGAATTACAGTTTGAGATATGAAGCAATAATATATTGCATGTCTCACTGCTTGCAGAGAAGGAAGAAGCAATGCTTCAGGAATTTGATTTAATTCCCCAAAGCATCTGATGCTTGTCTTGTCATGTAAATTTTTGTTAAAATCACGAAGATCAGTACATAAAATATTCAGTATAGCTATCAAATCTTATGTAATGTGTATCCTTTGTACAATATCTTATTTTTAAGCACATACGTAAAGATGTAAACCATGTTTTCATTTTCTGCTTTTCAGGGGATATAATATTCAATGCTCACTATCCTGACCTGCCACCAGATTTTATCTTTGGAGAGGATGCTGAATTTTTGCCAGATCCTTCTGCCTTGCATGTAAGTACTTTAGTATGAGGCCCTCATACCATACAAATAAATTTGGCTTTTTTAGAATAGCTTCAGCAATGAGAATTTGCTAACAATGCAGAATAAAGGAAAAAAAACCTTTTTATCTCATTGTCAAAAGAGTATGAAGAAGTTGTCTTCTAATGTGATTTAAAGTTGAGTCCATAAATGTGATTTTATTTTTTTAAATATTTTAGTCAAGACAAGGTGAATAGTTGAGTAGCTATTGGCAATAATTTGGAATAGTTATTTGTAGTTATTTGCATAACTATTCAAGGTTTCTTTAAAAAGATACATATTTAATATCTGACCATCTTAAAAGATCTCTTTCAGCAAGAAGGATTGAACATCAATTGTATCTTTTAAAAGCATTTACTTGCAGAAAAAGTAGCATAATGTATAGTGTTGTCAATTTTTTTTTTTTTTTTTCCCCTCAAGTAAGGTAAAACCAGGTTAATATTGTTGCAACCACAGTATCAAGGAAAGAGCTTATCTTCACACACAGAATAGGTAGGGCTACCATTTTGACCCCACTTGGGTCAAAAATCAACTCAATTAGAAAGTATTTCTATAGTCTTGTTACTACAGAAGAAAAAGCATCACGATATGAAACCAAATGGTACTGTTCAATATTCAAAAATAGCCTAAACTGGTAAAGCTTTATTTGAAGGAGCTAGCATTGATTATGCATATAAAATACTTCTGCTCAGAGGTTAGTAGTAGTTATTAAAGGGATGTTAGGGTATTTTTGGTTCCTGAGGTACGTTTCATCCTTACTCTGCTGCCTTTACAGTCCTGCAGCCCTGTGTTTTGGCTCAGTGATGTTCTTTGTCAATAGGGTTTGGATATATTTTTTTCCTGTAAATGTCCAATATCTCGTTATGGTGGAAAGTTAGTGGTTCCATCAGAAAAGCATGCCTCTGCTGTGGAGCTCCACTGTAATTCCTGTTCAGTGACCCACGCAGCAGGTTATCATCTCATTTCTCTTTTTTTCTTAATTTTCATCTTTTACTGGAAATTTGACCCAAAAAAAGCAACAGTTGGAACTTCAAATATATTTGGTATGTGTGATTTTGTTCAACAGTTGGAAAAAGCGGGCTGTATATGTGGGATACATGGCATCGTATGGTGCAGACATACACCTGGGAAGCACCTTTCTCCTAGCGTAGAGCCATGCCAGCGTAGAGGCTTTTTGAATAGTACTCTGCTGTACCTTTCTTGTGCTTACCTCCAGCACAGCAGGGCAGTTGTATCAGGTATGGGAGCTCCCCAAAGCAAGTTTCTTGAGGCTCCCCTGTACTGTTCAGTGCTGGGGGACAGGTATCCGGGTGGAGCAGCCCCACTGTAGTGGTTGCACAGCTGAACATTGTCCTTTATGTGTGACATAACAGTTGTGTTTTTTTTGTCTTTATTCACTTCACATTGAATTATGCTGGGAAATTATATAATCTTAAAAGAATTAGCATTAATAATTGTTTTTAGCATACCTAGCTGAAATTTTGTAAGGTGAATGTCAAGGTGAATGTCTTACTTCTTTGCTTCACCTGGTCATTTCCTTGTGAAACTTGCAAACTCTTTTGGGAAGGAACCGTGACACTGTTGAATAGCTATTCTGTTAGGCTTCTTTTAGGAAAGCTTTTACTTTGTATGCCAATTCTAGAATTGTTTTCACAATCTTTAATTTACTAGTTCTCTTATTTTTCCCTTTTTCTGTTTTACTGTTTCACAGTACTATAGTGTCTTGAGAAGTATTCATAGTAACAGCAGTTTCTGCAGTTGTTGTTAGTGGAGGAGGAGCATTTTTTTAATGTGCTGGAAAAACTGAAATGAACAACAAAGAACAAATGAGATGTTAAATGCTCAAAGAGAATTTGGGGCATCCAACAGAAGTATTGTTTGGAGGGAAAAGTTTGCCAAGTGTGATGTGGTGTCTTATTTCTCATGTGAAGAGAAGTTGCTTGTAATACTCATCCACTGAGAAGCCCATAAGAATAAAAACATCCTTCTTTTTCTTTCTTTCTTACACGGTTGGTTAATGGTGCATCATTTGGGTGCATTGCTTTTCTTCTGCCTAAACATGGAACATACTTCCCACTCCCTGCATTCCAAAACAGCTTGAAGAGCCATTTGCTCCTTGATGCATAAGATATTAATTAGCTTATTTTAAAATTAAAAAGAAAAGAAAAATAAATTGGCAGCCCAACAGTTTTTCTGTGGTCATTATGCCTTGCAGTAACATTCACTATGTTAATGTAATCTTTTTTTGATAAGATACTTGGTCATTCTCCTCCAGTCCCTCCTGATGCTATCAGAGCAAGTTGTCCCCACTTTGCAGCTATGGTGTACCTTTGCTTTGGTATTTGCCTTTTAATGTTCAACATAGTTTGCAGACTTGTTTTCTCCAGAATGTTACGTTAACAGTAACTTGTTCATTATGCTAGGCCTTTTAATAACTCCCTTTTCTCCACACGTCTCAGACCTATTTAATGAAGATGATTTTAATTGGATTCTAATGTATTAGGGGAATTTTTTGTAGTTAGTGGAAAGGTATGTTAACATGTTAAGCAAAAACAGATTAGCATGTTGATCATAATTCAATATCTAAATCTTAAGCAACCTACAAATCCTTTTGATGCAACTGTTCCTGGATATCTAAACAGAATCTACAATTCACAAAGGCATGTAGATAGTATTAAATGAGGGATAAGTCCACAGTCCGTAAGTAAAGAGTGCATGCAGTGGAATACGTGGGAATTCTGACGTTGTGCCTTCCTGTAGTGCTCTCATCTGCCTGAATGTCTTGTTTGTCAAGCAGAAGTCATCACATGTTCCATGGCTTGAGTCAGGCTTAATGTTCAACTTGAAACAAGAACCAGGTACTCTAGATTCCTCAAGCTTATGTGGCTATGTTAGAGGTTGTCGGGAGGCTTCCCTAATGAAACCTGAATCACATCAGTCACTCCTGCAGTTTCCATAGCCGTAGGCAGACCTTCAAGTTACATTTTCATCTATATGCTGTAACAGGTGTTCAGTTAAGCAGCTGTTAGTCAGACAGCTAACGAGATTCAAGAAGTCCTGCATTTTAAAAGGTAGATGCTGTATGTGAAGATGCCTTTTTTTTTTTTTTTTTTTTTTTCTTCAGGAAATACCTGAATAGTTGGGCTTGTATTTTAGCAATGAAATGATATATTGAGTACTTGTTATATACAGATCTAATCAGTTCCTTTGTTAAATTGGTATTAAAATCAAGTCAACATGCCTTTTGAAACTCTGCTTTCTTTCTGTATTTCACAGAAATATTAAAATCACTTCATTCTGAAACTCAGTCTGAGTCTCAGAAGTTATTCTATGGTTGTAGGCTATAATTTGTGTATATTCTGGGTTCCTAGAATGATGCAGAGATTGGTATTATAGTCAAGGGATTACTATTCCTTTGATTGTGGTTTGTCATACTGTTTCAATTATATTAAGAGCTAAATTGTTTAGGTTGATGATGCTATGCACAATTTAGGCATTATTAGAAATAAACATTTATTTTTCCTTTTTATTAAAAATATCCTCAGCTATAGCATGTGCTTGATACTTGTGTGTATAGTATGCATAAATAAAATCAGCTTCTCAGAATGTAAATAGAAAAGTTCTTCCCTGCTCTAGTGTTTATGCATTTTGGATGACAAGTATTAAAAATGTATTTTAAAAACAACCTATGATTCACTCTGTTCTGATTAAAAATTCAGTTGGCACAAAACAAGATTAGTGATTGTGTACGGATGAGATTAATTTGGAGCTCATTACAATGACGCCAGTTTGAGTAACAAGAATTGTTTGTTATGTTAGCCTAGTTGATTGTTAATGTGAGCCAGTTAATAACTGAAGTGCGTATGCAAAATGTTAACCCCATTTTTCCAATAATTTTTAAGTATATTCTGTTTGGCAAAGAGGATACAATAGCAGTGTGTGCAAGCTAGTGGTTAGTTTTAGGGCTTGTAGGTTTTTTTTGTTTTGTTTTGTTTTTTTTTAGCATCCTACTTCAGCCAATCACCCCAGAAAGATTCTGCCCACTCAGTGCTATTGAAAAGACTTCCTTAGCTGTGCTGGTGATGGAGGCAAGAGGACATGAGTATTTCCTGAAGCCCAGCAAGTGCTCAGTGCGTCCTTGCAGGCTACTGTATGTAGGAATACGTATGTTGCATTCACGTGGGAGAGTGTTGCCATCATAGTAATGCGGAGAATGGACCACTGCTGTTCTGATCCCAGAACAAAGAGCTAGAAATAGTTTGCCCTTGTCAAATTGCTAATACTAGGTACAGATTTCATTCATGCAGCTAATTTCGCTGCTAGATCATATTAAATGTTACGGGATGTGTCAATTTTTATTTTAAGCACTTGTATTTGGATTATTAGCCTCTGTAGTATTTATCATATGACTGTATGACAAATGTCATAAAGGCTGTATTGCTTCTGTGACTGTGTTCAAAATCTTAATCATTGTTACTGTCATCTTCTTGAGAGAGCATGTAATAGGTAGTGAAATAGTTCCTTTAAATATCCCCCCTTTCTTTAATTGTTCTTCATCCACCATCAGGTGCATAAGGCAGATGTTTAACAGCATCAGTTGTCCCTGTGCTCACAGCTGTTAAAAAAACCCAATGCTTGTATTAGCTCATGCCATCTAAACTACTTTGTTCTAAAAAGCCTGGCTGTTGTGTTGTTGGCAGAGGAGCAGATGCTTATTACATGTTTAATATTGTAAGTCCCCTCTGTAAGGGCAAATGAGCACTGGTAGTTTCAGGATATGGCTGTACAATTAGGTCTGGGAGGTTATTGGATTTGTCAGGGAGATGTGTCAGTAAGTTTGAACTTTTCCAGTATTACCACCTCTTTTGTTGCTTGTATTTGGGATGTTAGCAGAGGATTCCATTCTTGGATCACTAACCTACCACTCTTGCACTAAAAGCCTTAAATTAGCTTGTTTTGAATTTGATTGTAGA